TGAAGTCTGAGGGGTTTATATCGCTGTCATATCTCGCGGCAAAGTTCGAACCACTTCATGAACCAGTCACGTGGTACAGCCGGGCAGCGAGGCTTCGGACGTCATCATTTTCAGCTCCTCCCATAAATGAAGCAAGCCTCGATACGCGCATCGCGGAAACGCCCCCTCCATTACTCGACACAAGCTTCGAAGCTTGCTCATTTGCTGTCCAAATGAGTTGTGGTCCCAGAAGAAGTCTGATCTCTGTGTCTGTGTGATGCACCTGTACAGTGTATGCCTCTCATCCACACGTGGTCACTTCTAGCTCTATTAATGTTGAGGCTTCAGAATGCAGAAGCTACAAAGCTGTGAGTTTCCCATCTCATTTTTATACCCAGTCTGTGGTTGAAACAGACTTTCAGTCTCTAACTTGCTTTTCCCGTGACTCTCACCAGAAGCTTCTTCAGACCTTTTGTCTTTATCAGCCCTCTCATGTTCATGTTTGGTCTCTCATGTTCAGGAAGTGAGTGGCTGCTGTGGTTTATCTTCCTCTTCCTCCTTTGTGTCCCAGCAAGAATTGGGAAATCCTTCCATGAGGCATGGGAGGGGCTCAGACTGACTCACTGTTCCCTGAAAGTCTAAAATTGCGTCAGAATAAAGGATCGAGCGAGTCATTTAGCATGCACTGACTGGTTTTGTTCCTCTTTTCATAGAAATATTTCAGGTTATACTTTTGTCACAGAGAAGAAGCTGCTTTTCCTTTCATTGTGTCTTCATATATGTGGCTGTTTTTCTTTTGTTTAGGTCAGCATGAAGGAGTTTACAGGCTCTCTCTCTGTGCTTCTTACACCCTTATCATCCTAATTAGGACCTGAGTTTGGAGATGGAGATCATCAAAATCTCAGCAGGGCCATTAAAAATTAAGCAGAGGAGCAGGTGGGGAAATTCACCGCTCCCTCCCCACTGAAAGGCACTAAACATGAATCCAGTCTGGTTTTATTTCTCTGTGCATTATGTCGGGATTCACTGATCAGCTTTTAGTTGAACATCCTCTTGTACAGACAGCCTACAGTCAGTTATCCGTCAGTGTTAAGCAGGCAGAGACTAGCTGAAGCTAAGCACAGCATTCCTATGACAGCAGTGGTAAACACAGTCATGCTGTGTTTAGGTGCAATGCTGGACAGCCTCCAACTGACAGACGAGGTTAAAATTGGTGACAGTGTTCACTGACTCAAACTAATTGAAAATATTAAGCACTCTGATGAGCTCTTTCAGCCTTTTGAGTTTCTGTGTTTGATCAAATAAACCATTTTTAAATGGCCTGCATTTGTATAGCGCTTTACTTAGTCCCTAAGGATCCCAAAGCGCTTTACACTACATTCAGTCATTCACTCATTCACACACACATTCACAATGGCAAGCTACATTGTAGCCACAGCTGCCCTGGGGCGCACTGACAGAGGTGAGGCTGCCGGACACAGGCGCCACCAGGCCCTCTGAGATCACCAGTAGGCAACGGATGAAGTGTCTTGCCCAAGGACACAACGACCAAGACTGTCCAAGCCGGGGCTCGAACTGGCAATCTTCCGATTACAAAACGAACTCCCAACTCTTGAGCCACAATCGCCCATGGCTTAATCTTAAATTATACTTTTGCGGATGAAGTAAAAAGTGTGATTTTACTTCTGTTGTGTGCCTCTACTGTTGTCTATTAACAAGTAAGTGCATTAGAGGGTTAAAAAGGTTAAAAATTAAATCTTCACTTAGCAAAAATTATGCAAATGTGATTAAATGAAATCATGAATGAAGCTTGTACTAAAAAGTGTTATCAGTCCAAGTACTTCATGTAGCATGCAGTCAAATACTTCATCTCTGAAAATATTTGACTTTTAAGAGGCCATCACGGCTCATTTCACCAAATATTGGTGGTGCTCGATATGCTCTGTGATGTCGCCTTGTGGCGCTGAGGATCATTTCCTGTTATGGTTCAGTTACATCATCATCTGGACAGGAAGCGATTCTGACTGCAGATCAGCTGCATGCGACTGAATGAGAGGAAACCCCCACAGACTAAATATAAACTGGCGAGCAAACACCTGCTGGAAGGAAAAAAAAACTGAGTGGCACAGCTCAGAGCTTCATTCTTTCATTTTTTTATCGTGAGATAAAATTTGTATAAAACAAGCATTGAACCTCCTCTGTTTATCAGTCTGACTACTGGAGCAGCTCACCTGGCTCTCAGGTATTCAGTACATGTCCCAGCTTGTTCAGCACTTTTACGTCTCAGCTCAGCTCACAGAGACGGCTCCATTGTTTGTTTGTTTTTAATTATCCTTCATGTAGGTGTTCAGAGCCTAATCTGACAGCGTGGAGATCTTTCAGTGCCCCCTGCAGGGTCTTTATGACATGGCCTGGAGATCCTCCCAGACTCATCCCAATATATACAGTGAAAATCGCAAAATTTCTTAATTTTTAAAAGAATCATTTTTTTAAATTGTTTTTATCTACGTTTGTGTTGTTTAGGCATCAGAATTACTCAACTACTTCAGTAAATCATTCCTATTATATTATAAAACACCTTTCAGGCACACACATTTCTGGATTATACCTTTTTGTAGCTGTTTCTTTTATTTATAGTCTAAACATTGTTTATTACTACAATCTGCAACTCTTTCACAATTTTAGTCTTGCTTTCTACTTTTCTTTAACTTAAACGTATTTTTATTTTTTTGTTTTGTTTTATCACTGTTGTGCATATAATACCTATTTGTCGAGCTATCTTATCCATCTAACTAACTAGCTATTGTTTTATCTATCTAGCAATCTAGCTAACTATCTAGAATTCACATTAATCACATTATTGGACATCTAGTATGGAAAATTTTAAAAGAAAAAGATAATGGAGGTAGAAGTGCAAATAATTTTACATAAGGGGGACAAAAAATACACTGAACAAAAATATAAATGCAACACTTTTGTTTTTGCTCCAATTTTTCATGAGCTGAACTTAAAGATCTGAACTATTTTCTACATACACAAAGGACCCATTACTATCAAATATTGTTCACAAATCTGTCTAAACTTTGTTAGTGAGAACATCTCGTTTGCTCAGATAATCCATCCCACCTCACAGGTGTCGCATGTCAAGGTGCTGATTAGACAGCATGAATATTGCACAGGTGTGCCTTAGACTGCCCACAATAAAAAGCCACTCTGAAATATGCAGTTTAATCACACAGCACAATGATACAGAAGTCGCAAAACCCGTCAGTATCTGGTGTGGCCACCATTTGTCTCACACAGTGCAACATATAGATGTGTTGCACTGTGTGAGGCAAATGGTGCGCAATGGGCATAGAGTTGATCAGGTTGTTGATTGTGGGCTGTTGGTCCACTCTTCTTCAATACTTGTGTAAAGTTGCTGAACATTAGCAGGAACTGGAACACGCTTTCATGTGACAAACTGCTGTCATGTGACGACCTGCAGTCAGGTCCAGTCCCCGATAAGGACGACGGGCATGCAGATGAGCTTCCCTGAGATGGTTTCGGACAGTTTTCGCATAAATTCTTTTTTATGCAAACTGATTGTTGCTGCAGCTGTCTGGGTGGCTGGTCTCCACCTGGTCGACCATCCTAGAGGTGAACGTGCTGGATGTGGAGGTTCTGGGCTGGTGTGGTTACATGTGGTCTGCGATTGTGAAGCCGGTTGGATGTACTGCCAAATTCTCTGAAACGCCTTTGAGGACGGCTTATGGCAGAGAAATTAACATTCATTTCACAGGCAAGAGTTCTGGTAGACATTCCTGCAGTCAGCATGCCAATTGCACGCTCCCTCAAAAGCTGCGACTTCTGTGTCATTGTGCTGTGTGATCAAACTGCATATTTCAGAGTGTCCTTTTATTGTGGGCAATCTAAGGCACACATGTGCAATATTTATGCTGTCTAATCAGCACCTTGACCTGCCACACCTGTGAGGTGGGATGGATTGCAATGCTATGAAACTGCTTTCTTAAAAGTTCTTAATGATGTTTATTGAGCCTTGAAAGCCTTCAAAGAACTACTGCGCTGCTCTTTTTATTGGTTTTTCAAAAGCCTTTAGCACTATTGACCATGGCATTTTATGCCAGAGGCTACTGGTCGTAGGCCTTTCAGACCAAGCAGTTTGGTGTATTACTAATGACTTTTCTGACCATCAGCAGTGCATGTAGCTCAGTGGCCTCTCTTCCAGAGAGTGCCCCAGGGTTATGTATTGGGGCCTGCACTATTTACTATTTATGTTATTGGCTGTGGACAAAATCTTAATGCTTCGGTTAATTTTTACACAGATGATACAAATATTTATTGTGTTTTGAATTTATACAGTCACAGCTGTGTCAGCTCAGACTGCTTTTGAATGCAGGAAAAAAAAACTAGTTTATGTGAAAATTACTGAAACTGAGGCTGAAGTTGGGCTTCTTTTTCCAAAAATCAATCGTGTTTCTCTTTCACAGCAAGGAAAAGGCTCGTTGTTACCACCTGTTAACCCCTCCTGGATTACAGCGATAAAATTTAGATGAATGCCTCTGCTCTTTCTCTCCATTTCATGGACTGTTTATCACAGGGCACTAAGATTTACAAGCAGCTGTAAACCTTTGGCACGCCACTGTACTTATATTCTCTGGTTGACTGGCTCTCACTGGCCATATGCAGGATGGTTCATTGGTATAATTTTATCTGTAAATCTATGTATGGTTTACTCCCTTCTTATTTATCAGAGTACACATCATGCAAACAGTTTAGTCATAGTCTGCAGTCTCAGGATTTTATTACAGTCACCATCAGTTCATACAGAACTCAGAAAGAAGGCATTCCTCTTTTTCTGCCCCATCTTTGTGGGATACACGATATGACATCAGCTGATGTCACTTGTAGACTTTAAAAGACGTACAAATGACTTTGTGAAATCATCCCTGGGAACTTGTTCCTGTTTTTGACATGAATGTGTAAACGTTAGACAATTTTAGCTATTCTATTGCTGCGATTTTAATGTTTGTCTGACACAGGTCACTCTTGTAAATGAGACACCGAGTCTTAATGAGACTATATAAGAGAGTGTATAAGTAAAGGTCAAATAAAAAGTATTTAAACATCAAACACACATTCATTGAAAATAAGCAGCTAGAAGAAAACACACAGGCTTTGCGTGTGTGTCTGAGGTGTTGAATGTCTGTGTGTGTTTGTGCAGATGACTTCCTGCCAGTGTTGAAGAGCCCCATCGGTCTGGTCGGGGAGGGGGCCGCCAGTGTGCCGATGACGCGAATTCCCCTCGCCAACGTGTCGCTCAAGCATCCGCTCATCGAGATCCAGTGAGTCCCCTCGGCCACAAATCTGAGACATTTAAACGGCTCAGACAGTCTGATGTCTTCCACTTGTTTTGTTGTTGGTCTTCATGTTTCTTCTTTCTGAGTACAGAAACTCAGTCCACTGTCTGCGTAAGAGGTCATCCCAGGACTGGAGTCAGAGCGTGTTTCATGTAGAAGCTCCTCCCTGGATTCCCCCGAACATTGCCGACACAGTCAACACCCCCAGTATGTATATACAGTACTACAGCAGTACTACAGTAACTAGCCAGAGCTTAGAGTACACCAGTAATACCATTTTTATTCATCTATGAAGCCACATGACGCAAATCAGTTAAACTACAGTCATAACTTAAAGACTTGAATGATGTTAAATTTTCTCCTTTTAAATTCACACAAACTGAAGTTTTTTATTGTACGCGGCCCTAAAAACCTCAGAAACTTGGTGTCCAACCAGATCCTTATTCTGAATGGTGTTACCTTTGTGAGGAGTCTCGGAGTCACTTATGTCCGTCAGTGCGCACATTAGACAAATATGTAGGCCTTTTTTGTTTCATATATGCAACATCAACAAAATTAAGAACATGGCCTCAAAGTGATGCTGAAATATTAGTTCACAGATTTCCTACTTCTAGGCTGGACTGTTGGAATTCATTGTCAGGTTGTTCTTAAAGCTCGTTGAAAAGCCTTCAGCTGTTTGAAATTCTGCAGAATATAACAGACGAGCTCCCCAGTTTGGATTCAGGAACACTCTCTACTTTTCCTATTAGATTTCTCTTTTTAATAAACCTTGTAGTTAGTGTTGTGTAGGTGACAGGTGTGTTACGACCCGGCTCAAAAGCCGCAACATAAAAACAGAGATGAATAACAGAGTGTGGGTGATAAGAGGTTTCATCCTAAAATGGAAAACCAGGTTGGCTAAAATGGCTGGTGCCACCAAGGCAAAGACTAGTGCACTGCCCGAAAGCTTGCCTCAGGTATGCTTTTATCCACACCTGACTAGGTGTGGCCAATTAGCACCAGCTGAAAACACTGAGACGATTAGAAGCTGCAGAGGGACGTAACACCTCCTCCCTTAAAAGGGTTCCTCTAGGACCCTTAAATTTATTAAAAGCCCCTCTGAAGCCTTCAGTTCCTTGACCCACAAACCTGGAATAAAAGTTAAAGCTAACAGAAGCACAGTGTTCACGTTATAGTTGGCATCTCTAAGCATGGATGGGCATGAGGATTTGAAGTTGCCACACTGAACA